AAAATGTTGCTTAGTAACTCGGTTTTTTCCACAAAGCCACTTTAAATTAGCATTCCAAAGGATTTGGACACATGGGGTTAAATCATGTAACTTTCTTGAAATAACTAGGCTCTAACCCAAGTAGCATAATCACCTATTGATACATGCATGTGTGTATGACATAGAACAATACTGCAGTGGAGTCGAAGCTAATCTCCTGACAGAGAAACACTTGTGTTTGTCATGCAGGGCAATCATGTGTGAAGCTTGAAGTGCAATTATGTGATTTATGTAGATCTTTCATTCTGGAAGTATTAGAACTTCCTATTTAGAATTTGTGACTATTTGAAATTCAGGCCCATTATCACTGACTGATGGGGCCATCAGAAGGGCTAAGGATAGGAGTATCTGATATTACTTAATGAAAGAAATACGCTATTTGTTAATCTTATTTAGTCCAATAATCCTCATATTTATAGGTCGAATGGCTTTAAAATTTGTTAAATGTAGCTATATTGATGCAATGATCATTTGAACACCATTGTTCACACTGTTGGTTTTTGTGTGTTTCTTTCTTTTTAGAATTATGGCAATTTACATGTGGATCTATATGTGATCCAGACTCATGATTCATACATATACTCAGCTGTTTTACTTAATGAGTGTGGGCTTTATCAGGTGTTAATTAGTTTATTAAATGGCATTTTCATCCTAACCAAGTGAACTTGTTTTGTAAAGGAAATATTTGCAAAGCGTATTTTGCTTTCTTTCATTCTCTTACCTACTGGGATTCCTCCAGCCTTGTTAATTGTGTTTTTTCCCCCTGAACTGAGTCCCTGAGACTGAGAGTATAGAGCTGAGAAGCAGCTGAGGCTGGGAAATCTGATGCAAGGTTGAGAATATAAGATAGTAGATATCACAGGTATGGGCAAGGCCTGGGGAAGCCACTGTGAGCAGCGTGGAGTCATGGCATCCATGGGACTGAAGGTCAGAGTTGGTAAGTGGGTGATGCTCGGCAGCATGCAGAAATCAGGGACACAGGAATACTGAAATTTGATGGGAGTGATGTGAGAAGAGGGCACAAAAGGAAAAAAAGGGAAAAGTCTAGGTCACATAAGGAATCAGGCTACAAAAACTGAAAGAACTATGACACCATTTGGTCAGCAAACTTGGGACATCAGGCTAGAAGTTGTTTGGTATTTCAGTGCAAGTTGTCCTCTAGCCAAGAAGCTTCTTTGGCATTTCCTGCTAGGCTAGGAATCAGTCACAGGGTGTGGGTCCCCAGAGCCACTTGTATAAGCAGGTCATGGGTGTGTCTGCCTAGAAGGGAGAGGACATGGGAGGGTCCTGACACCTAAGGAGAGAGGTGAAGGACATGTGGCAATACAGGCATAATCAGCACTTTGCTGAGCATTGTGTATTCCGTGACTCACAAGCCCTGGTTTTAACACACCCATCTTCCAGGCAGTAAAATCATGGCAACGGGGCTGGGAATGAGTAAAGAAGTCTTAATGTTTCTGCTCCATTCCTGATGAGCAACAAACCTTGTATCTCTGTGGGTTATTATGATGCTGTTCTCATGTTTTACTAATTCAGAAGTTAGTACAAAGGAGCTACTTTAAAGAGGGTAATGCTTCAGTATGGAAGCTGTCAACAGTTTGCATTCTGTATCAAAATCTCAGTTCTCTTTTAAAGGTTTTCATAGCAAAAAAAAAAAAAAAAAAAAAAAAAAAGGTCTGTTTGCAAAGGAATGCATTTGAATAAATGATATGAATGAAGGTTAATTGATGAGAAAAATGTAATATGTGGTCATGTAAATAAAGAATTTTGCTGTATATTACACATATACATTTAGATATGTAAAAAATATTTACATGCACCTATTTAATATAAATCCATATGCATATTTATGAATTTATATTGTTTAGAAATTTCTGAGAATTAGGAGATTTCCAGTTACTAATTGTTTTTAACTCAGTATTTTGGTCCTTTTTTTAGACATTAGTAAAAAATTCCTTTGCTTACTTCTTTTTTATTATATTACAAAATTAGATCAACTTACAGGAAAGAACTAATTAACCTTAAAATCTCATTTATATCTCTTGAAATTCACTTCTAATCATACATCTGTTTGTCAATATATTTGCTTTTTAACTTAAATTATTTTATGTATATATTTGTACGTAATGATATAGTCCATTTAGTGTTCATTTTTAATTCTCTATTGTATGGTGATGTACCATTTTGATTTTTATTCTCTTATTCTTGACCACTTGGGTCAATAATATTTTTATTTTTCATTAGTGGAAAATATCATGGGTATGAACATTTTTTAACAAATTATTTTTGGGTTGTTTGCTTGGGGCATTTTCCCCAAAGTCAGATTAACAAGTCAAAGGGCAGGAACAATTTTATAGCTTCTGTTACATATTGCCAGATTGTTTTCCAGAAAGATTGAGTTAATTTGCCACACCACTATCAATGTATAAGGCACAATCCCAGTTTTAGACAGTTTAGACAGTCTGAGCACACATGAGATGTGTAATTATATTTTTACCCTGAGGCTTAGCTGTAAAGATAGCTCCTGTAAGTAAGCTCAATATGTGGACTTTGAAATGATAGAACTGATAAAGCGTGTAGCTAATTTGTTCTACAGCATGTGGAGCCTTGAAGTGATGGACTCTGGGGACTGGAGAAGGGCGGTGTTGAGGTGGAGGCCCCTTTTGGACCAGCGCAGTACCGTGATGTGATCACAGGCTATGAGATGTTGTTGAGACCCAGAGCATAGGGAAAGGGGGAGAGCCAGGTCCCAGTGTTTTTGCCGCCAGTGGGGTCGTCAGGCCTGCTAGGAATTCTGGAGGGCTTGGTGGAGGTTGTAGGATGGTGGGTGCACTTTGGAGTCAGGTGAGCAGCAAAAGAGAAGAGGATGTCCAGTGGCTGCACTGTGGTCACCAGTTAGTGGGTCATGTACTTCCTGGGTAGCTGCTAACTGAAGGCTTTCCTCATTAAAAATGTCAACTTAGTGGTGTTGAGGTGATTTTTTTCTTTGTGATGCAGCATTATTGATTTTTTTAATGGAAGTTGGTAAAGATTATAGATTCTGTGGGAATCCATTCATTCTGTAAGGATGTACTTGACTGGTCTATAAAGTTTCCTTTGTCCTGCTTCTGACAGGGTAGAAACTTAGACCTTTCCCTGAGAAATAAATTTCCCTCATTGCTCATGCATGCTGGCGTAGCATTGTACATTTGCCAGCTTCCCCAATGACTTGCAAAAATTCTATAACCTAAATCCAGAACATGTAAGAGCACATCATAGACGTGGGCCAGGAGGGTACTGCAGAAGACTCACATATTCCATGCAATTCAGAAAGGCAGAAGGAACAAGGATAAAGACATCTATAAAATATTTGGCTGTTTAGAAATTACATTTTAAAGGGAGTAAATTGAATGGGTATTATTGGGTAGAAATTCCAAGTCATAAAATTAAATGGAAGTTGAGATATAAAATTGTTTTAATTTCTCGGTCTCAAAGTAGAAAGAAGTAAGTATCAATGGACTGAGGGAGGTAGGAAGCATTCAAATGCCAGCTATGGTAAGAGAGGGAAACAGACAAGGGCTGTGAAATGACCTATTTAGGGATATATTTATTTTTTTACTGTTATTTTTTTTGTGGTAAAGTCTATATGACAAAATATGCTGGCTTAACTATTTTTTTTTTCCTTTTCGTCTTTTTTACTGATCGGTAACGGGATCGCAACCCTCGGTGTTGCGCCCCGTACCAGGGACCGGCAACGGGATCGCAACCCTCGGTGTTGCGTCCGCACTGTGCTCAGCGAGTGAGCGGGAACCGGTCTCCACATGGGATCCGAACCCTCGGCGGGAGCGCCGCCGCACTCCCAAGCAGCGCACTCTCCAGTGCGCCACCAACTATTTTTAAGAGTATGTCCGAACCCTCGGCGGGAGCACCGCCGCACTCCCAAGCAGCGCACTCTCCAGTGCGCCACCAACTATTTTTAAGAGTATGATTCAATGGCATTCACTACATTCACAGTCATCACCACTATTTCCAATACTTTTTCATCACTACAAACTTTAGGGATTTATTTTATAATTGGTTTTCTCAATTTCTTCAGCTTAAAGAAACAGTGTTCAAACCGTTCATTTTTAGTTTCAGTATATGCCAGTAACAGGTTGATTCTGCTGTTGTATTTCTCTTCTTAATCGGTTTCCTTTCACCCTTCCTATTGCTTCATGCTTGGTTGAAGAGGGTGCCCATCCAAGTACAGGAGGCAGAGATATTGTTCTGTCAAGGACATGTGGGTGGCTGTGTTCCTTTGCTGAAATAGCCAAAGGAACTCTATTTATAGGAGAACACGAGTAGTCAGGCTCCCTTTTACTAATTTAACATATTTTAAAATTAAAAAGCAATATTATATTATTGACAGTTTAGAAAAAGTAAGAACTTATCACTTTGAATGTAGAAATGATTATTATTTTTGAATATTTCTTTTCAGTCTTTTTTTATATACATGTTTTTGACATAGTTGACAATTACAGATCTACCATATACAACTAGCTTACTTTTTCATCTAACATGTTACTTACAATTTTCCACGTTGCTCAATAGTCTTCATAGTAATAGTCCAAGGAATGCATGTAGCTTAATTTATATAGGTTGCCAAAATTTATACCAGTTATAAATGAACATCTTTAAACATCTTTTTATAGTTTTACCCCTTCATTTTATGTGTGTGTGTGTGTGTGTGTGTGTGAGAGAGAGAGAGAGAGAGAGAGAATCTTTAAACATCTTTTTATAGTTTTACCCCTTCATTTTATGTGTGTGTGTGTGTGTGTGTGAGAGAGAGAGAGAGAGAGAGAGAGAGATATGCAATGCTCACATGTATCTTGTGTGGGCCATGGCTCCTGCATTTTTAGTGCAGATTTGGTAAAATCAGTTGTGGTGTGTTTTTGTAATAATGATAAACATCAGGTGGATGACAAATGTTGATTTGGTTACAGGTTGTGAAAATCTTAGAGAAGCATGACCCCTTGAAGAACACCCAGGCAAAATATGGGTTCATCCCTCCAGATGAGGCCAGTGCTGTGCAGAATTATGTAGAACACATGCTCTTCTTGCTGATTGAAGAGCAAGCCAAGGATGCTGCAATGGGGCCAATTCTGGAGTTTGTGGTCTCTGAGAACATCATGGAGAAACTCTTCCTTTGGAGCTTGAGACGGGAATTTACCGATGAGACTAAAATTGAGCAGCTGAAGATGTATGAGATGTTGGTCACCCAGTCACACCAGCCTCTGCTGCACCACAAGCCCATTCTGAAGCCCCTGATGATGTTGCTGAGCTCTTGTTCAGGAACAACCACCCCTGCTGTGGAGGGGAAGCTGGTGGTCCTGCTCAATCAGCTCTGTTCCATCCTTGCCAAAGATCCATCCATTCTGGAACTCTTCTTCCACACTAGTGAGGACCAAGGGGCTGCCAATTTCCTCATCTTCTCCCTTCTGATCCCTTTCATTCACCGAGAGGGGACAGTAGGCCAGCAAGCTCGGGATGCTTTGCTGTTCATCATGTCTCTTTCTGCCGAGAACAGTGTGGTAGCACATCACATCGTGGACAACACCTACTTTTGTCCAGTAAGTCCCTCTCCTTGGCATGTTTTCCACCCATTCCCCTTTTTCTCTCCTGTGCTAATGTTAAATACATTTTTATTCCTTTTTCCCAACAAGTTGTACTTGGCACCTTCTATGGAAAGATGCTTAGAGGAAATCTTTTGGAAGGAGTAGAGGAGTCTAGATTGAGATGCTCTTTGGCTGAGCAGTGTCAGCTCAAAATAAGCCAACATAGGAAATTAGATGTGTTACCATTTCTTGGTTCATTTTTATTGCATTAGGAAATATTTTAGTTTTTTCTAAGAGCATATCCTGAGATATTGGTAAAACCCATGCTTTCTACGTTCTTAGTTTTTCAGGTTGATTTTACACCACTGAATCATGGCATGTGGTAAGGCCCCTCACAGCTGGTTTCACAATTTAATTGGTTTAACTTATCAGAAGATAATGACCACCAATTGTAGTGTGTTTGGTTGTCATAGGAATATGGGGTAGTGAGGAGGGGGTTCAACTGGCATTTAGTGTACAGGGGCCACACCGACTACATCAAATGCTAGCAAGGATGTGGAGCAACAGGAATTTTCATTCATTGCTGGTAGAAAATGCCAAATGGTAAAGCCTCTTTGGAAGACAGTTTGGCAATTTCTTACAAAACTAGACATACTCTTGCCATATATGACCCAGCAATCACACTCCTTGGAACTTACCTGAAGGAGCTGAAAACTTAGGTCCACCCAAAAACCTGAACATGGATATTTATAGCAGCTTTATTCGTAATTGCCAAAATGTGGAAGCAACCAAGATGTCCTTTGGTGGGTAAATAGATAAATTAACTATGGTACATCCAGACAATGGAATATTATTTAGCTAAAAAGAAATTAGCTACCAAGCCATGAAAGTACATGAAGTGACCTTAAATGCATATGGCTAAGTGAAAGAAGCCAATCTGAAAAGGCCACATACTATATGATTACCACTATATGACATTCTGGAAAAGGGCAAAATTAGGGAGACAGTAAAAAAGATCAAACAAGCAAAGCACAGAGGATTTTTAGGGTACAAAACTATTCTGTATGATACTATAATAGTGAATACATATCATTATACATTTGTCCAAACCCATAGAGTGTAAAACACCAAAAGTGAACCCTGATGTTAAACTGTGAATTTTGGGTGACTTTGATGTGCCAGTGTAAGTTCATGAATTGTAACAAAGGTTCTGCTCTGGTGGGGGATGTTGATAATGGGGAATGCTGTGCATTTGTGAGGGCAGAGGGTGTATGGGAAATCTCTGTACCTTCAGCTCAGTTTTGCAGTGAAAAATTAAAGTGCTCTAAAAAAAATAAAGTCTTAAAAAAGGCAGTTTTCTGAGGAAGCTATATAAGCTTTGGGTTTTGGCTTATTTGAATTGTTTTGGGTAGTTCTGCTGTTAAAGGAGAGCAGGTATTTTAACAAATCATCAAAATATTCAGGTAGTTCACTTGACTAATATGCAAAAGGCAATTTAAAAAGATACCATTTAGAAAAGCAACACATTCATGAGCTATCTTGAAATAAATCTAACGAATATATGAAGAGCCTTTATGGAGAAAATGATAAAACTTTATTGAAGGGCATAAAAGAAGATCTGAATAAACAGAAAGCTCCATAGTTTGTAGATACTGTATAGGTGGGACATTCCTGCAAATCAATCCATGAAGTTAATGCAATTTTTGTTTTACAGCTTTTTATTATGAAAAAAGTAAAATACAGAAAATTTGGAAGAACGCTTAAAATGAACATCATATACACACCACTTAGATTCAAAATTGCTAATATTTTGCCATTTTTTGGTTTATCATCTGTTCTTTTTGTTTTTGCTGTACCATTTGAAATTAAGTCGTGGACATTAAATTCTTCAGTGTGTTTCTCCTTTGAATAAGGACCACATAACCACAATACCATTATTGTACATAAGAAGATCATACAATAATTCCTTAATATGCTCTAATATCATTCTCCTATTATGCCCCAAATTACTTTCACAGCACCCCCCAAAACTAGAGTTTAACACAAGGTATACATATGGCTGTCATATCTTCTTAGTCTCTATAATATATAACAACCTGCCATTTTTCTTCCTTATGACATTGACTTTTTCAGAGACCAGGACATTGTCTTGTAGAATACCCCACATTCTGGGTTTGTTTGATTGTTTCTTGTGTACTTTAACTCTGCCCTATTCCTGTATTTCCTGCGAATTGGAGTTAAGTCTACATGCTTGATGAAATTTAGGTTAGATATTTTTAGCAAGAATATTTTACAGGTGATGCTTATACTTCTTACTGTATTACAGCAAGAGGCATGTGTTAGGTTGTCTCACCTTGGTGATGCAACATTCAATCACTTGATTGGTTAAGGGTGAATACTAGATCTCTTCACTGTGAAAGTACACTTTTCCCTTTGTAATTGTAAGGTGTAGTTTGTGAGGTGTTAATGTGATTTAAATCAAAATCCCAATAGGGTTTTTCATGGAATGTGACAAATTGATGCTAAAAGTCATCTAAAAGTGTGTAAAGGGCCAAGAATAGTTGAGTTAATTATGAATAATGTTAACAATGGTATATTTGTTGGGAGCTTACTATGTGCTAGACACTTCTCAGTGCTTTATATGTATTAATTAATCTGATCCTCACAACCATAGGTATTGGTGTTATTCCCTTTCTATAGAGGAAGAAATTGAGGCATAAAGTAAATTTGTACAAGGCCAACAAGGCTGCTAAGAGGTAGAGTCGGGATTTGAACCCTAATCTGATCCTCACAACCATAGGTATTGGTGTTATTCCCTTTCTATAGAGGAAGAAATTGAGTCATAAAGTAAATTTGTACAAGGCCAACAAGGCTGCTAAGAGGTAGAGTCGGGATTTGAACCCCGGGCAGTCTGCCTCAAGGACGTGTGTGCATAAGTAATAAAATATCAGGTGATACTATGAAGTACCAACCTTAAAGAAAAGACTGGAATTAAGTACAGAACCCAGATTGGGAACAAATATTTGTAATGCACATAACTACAAATGATTGGTACCCCAAATATGCAAAAATATTTGTAATACTACAAATTAATAAGAAAAAGTTAAAACAACACGTTTGGAAAATGGGCAAAAGTTGTAAATGGACAATTCCCAGAAGACACCCAAAGCCAGTAAATATATGCTCATCTTCCATAGAATCAGAGAAATGAAAATTGATCCCATGAGATTTCAGTTAATACTCCTGAGAATGGCTAACTGTTAGACATCTGATAACACCAAATGTTGTCAACAGTATGGAAAAAACAAGAACTTTTGAGAATATAAATTGACATAATAACTTAGGAAAGCTGTAAGGCAATATTTAGTAAAGTGAATATTTGCATACTGAGCAATCTTGCAACTTGATTTCTGGATATCTGGCCTAGAGAAATCTAGCACATGTTTACAAGTATCAACCAAAGTAAACAACCACCTGGTTGGGATATGAAAAAAGTTTATTTGAGAACTCGGTAAAGGATTCTAGAATTGGGCAGCAGTCTGGACCATTCAGAATGCTCTATGCCACCACATGTACAGGTCATATTTATAGCTAGAGAAAAGGAAGAAGCGACATTCAGAAACATCATGATTGGTTACAGCTCAGTATTTGCCTTATTTGGCATTGTGTGATGAGGCATTTGCCTTATATGGGCACGGTGTATCAATTGGCAGCCTGTGATTGGCTGAAGCTTGGCTGAATGTGAAAGTTTAGCAAAAGTTCAGAGTGTTCCTAGCCAAGATGCGCTTCACCTCAAGCTGAGGTGGCCTTCTTGGCTCCATTTTAGGTTCCTTAATCAGACTCATGCTATTTTCTTTGTCACAAAGATACATTACAAAGATGTTCAATAGATTTGAAGAAGAGAAAAATAGAAATATATGAAGGAAAGATAAGCTGTTGTTCTCATACATCGGTGGAATACTATTCAGCATTCAAAATGAATAAATCACATGTATTAGCATGTAACTACATCTACATGTGTGAACACCAGAGAATCGAAAAAATGTCAGATAAAAAACGTAAGTAGCAAAAGGTTACACACGATATGTTAGTATTTACATAAAGTTGTGAAACACAAAATCTCAGTGTATACTGTTTTTCTGGATACATATATATATATATATATACATACAGTAAAATTACAAAAAAACAAGCACAGGAATAATATGTGCTAAGTTCAAGACTGCTTACTTTTGGGTGGGTGAAAGAATAAGAAGGGATGGTAATAAGATTGGAGTAGTGTTTAGTTCTATTTGTAAGTTTTTTTTTTGGAATAAAGGAATGCTCTGAAGAAATTATGGAAAAATGTTAAAATTGTTAAGTCTTGCTGATCGTTTTCTATTGTTTAGTATGTTTGTAATGTTTGATAATTAAAATATTTAAAGATATTAGGACAAGAATGGAGCATGTTTTTAATGTTTAGATTTCCACTTACTGTTTTATAAGCAGATTTTTACTGAGTAATTGTTGCTTTTATAAAAACGTGCTTTAAAACACTGTACAGTTCATTAAAATTGGAGGGAAAACAACATCTCCAGCTGACCTTATTTGCTAGAATGGAACACAAGCTTCATTGTGTTAAGTTGCCCCTCAGGATAGATCTGTAATCTCATTTGTACCCAGTTTTCTATAATTACATCTGACAACATAATTAAAAAAAAAAAAGTCCTCTTTATGTTGGAGATAAAAGCATACTCTATTAACCATCCAGCTAAGGACCACAATTGACAAATAGCTTTCTCTAATTAGTATGATTGTCAAAGTGTGTTAGCATCAGGCTGTTGGAAGAGTAATGACTCTTTCAGGAAATTGGACCACTTTTGGAAACTTTTATTGTTATAGTTGATAGGAAGAGTTTGCTGGTTCTGCTGCTGCTTATCTCAAGACGTGCTTTCCCAAGAAAAGAAGAATGCGGATACTCTAGGGAACAATCTGGTGCCAACAAATGACTAAATGATCCTATCACTTCTTTTGAT